ATTTTTTAAATGTTCATAAAACACTTCCATCATTAGTAAATTCAAATCTATTGAATTTTCTTTATCAGAATCATTTAGGGTCTGTTGAAATTTTATGTTATGGTTATCTGCAAAACCTTTTACACGATAAAACGTAGATGATTTTGATGATTTTAAGGATAAAGTATTAGTTTTAACATTAGGCAGATAGTTTTTAATCATGTTTTTTTCAATATTTTTTATTAAGGCCATTGTTTTATTTTCGGGAAACGATTGTAATGTATATAAGTATGTAACTTCATGATTATTTTTTGTAACTAGTTTATTTAATATTCTGGTAATCTGCTGTAATTCGTCGTTTTTCGATAAATGAAATAGTTTGATAAATTTTTCCAGGATATTTATTATTTTAACCATATAAATTTCTTGCTTATTTTTTTTGTTTATTATTTTTTTTAGCCGCGTTGTGATTGAACTGTTGTCACGTTTTATGTACATCAGATGTATTTGTGTCATCCGAATTATAAATAATTTAATGAAAGCCAACGATGAATTTTGGTAATATCTCAAACTAACGGAACCAAACACCAATGAACCTATATCATGACTATTTTTTATATTTTTTATTAAATCGGCTTGCAATGATTTCCAATTAACGTCAACATTAAATGTTGTAATTAATTCTTTTACAAATGAATCTGACTCAACAAAATTGTTTATGTATAAACATTCAACAGTAAACCATTCTTGATTATTAGGATAAACTCCCTGATCTGCTAATGTTTTCATCAAGTCTTTTATGTAAACCAAATTTTTCATTATGAACAATTCTACTTTTTTCAAACAATCATTTTTTTTTTTATCATGACATTCTGGAATATAAAAATCTATATTTTTAAAATTACATTCAAAGTTTGAATTTACCTTACAATAATACCCATTTGATAAATACTCTAGACGTTTTATAAGTGATTTATGAATCGTTAAAAGTTTAGGTTGTTCAATACTTGAAAAATTAATAACCCTTATACCAGAAATATGTTCTGATAATTTGTCAATATATATATATATTAACCAAAAACCATTAAGTTCTCTTACACCTATTGAGTATAGTATAGCTATCAAATTCTGAATTACATCTTTATACTTAATAATAAATGATATTATTGTTTTTTCATCCAAGTTTACTTCAAACAAATTTCTTATTAAACGCATATACTGAAGTACGTTAAATAAGTATATGCACCTGAATTTTGACAAATACCATTGTATCCAAAACTTTATTTCAGGATCCTCTTCATTTCGAATTGTAACTGGTGTAGCAATATTTATTTGGATATTACTTTTGCAAATTTGTTCAACATACTGCACTTTTAGCAAAGTATCTTCTAGGGATTTACGATCTTCGGGTAAATAAAAATTCATGCTACTGAGCGAAAAAAATTTTCCCGATATTATGACTAATCCAAAGATATCGATCAACGTTAGATGAAAAATGTTGAACATAATTGAGATCGTTTCAAATTATTTATTCAAGTACTAATATTAAATTACTCTTATTTTAACTTTTAAAAATCCACACTATATATGATGCATTGATAATTTTAAAATCTGATTTGTATATAATTATTTCTAATAATGAATTTAAAATTACTTTTCGATGCTTATTTGTTACTTAAATAGTGTATTGACCCGAAATATTACAATGATAAGTTTGAAAAAGTTGGATGTATTTGTGACATTTATACGCCAAGTGCACAACAACAAATTAATGTACTTGCGTCGGTAATTAAGTTTTTTTTTTATTAAAACAATTAAACCATATTTTTTCAATTGAATGTTTTAAAATATTTGGTGCTAAGTACTTTAAATGATAACATGGTCCTAAAATTAACTTTTATATTACCCAATTAAAACGCTTGGAAAACAAAGGCGTTAATTTTTTATAATTTATGAGATATGTTGCAATAATTTAGTCTTTATTATTAGATATTAAAATTTATATGTAGTATTACATTTCATATATATTCATGCGTTTTCCTAATAAAATTACCTTTTTACTTTAAAACTACATTTTTTATGATATATAACTCAAATTTTACTATAAAATTTTAAAATTTTGTAAAGGACTTTTTAAAAGCATAATTAATAAAAAAATAATTATTAGGTGTAGCCTAACTTGAATTTTTCGTTAGAGAATTGAATAGTGTCAACTTTTTTTTTTACAAATTTATTGTTTGAAATTTCCGACACAAAATTCATTACAAAATTTCTATTTAATTTTTATTATCCGTATTAAATAATGGTATAATATATTATATTATGATGATTAAAACAATATATATTTAGTAAGCACAGTTAATTGAGTCATATTATGTTAATTTTTTTTATTGTTGACATACTTTTTATTTTTAAATCGGACCATTTCCTTAATACAGGGGGGTTTCATAACTTAAAAATGCATATTGAAACATGAATTTTTTCAACTTAATTTTTGAAAGTGTTCAGGACATACTGACATTTTATTATATATCTTAAATTAAAGCTTATGTAATATACATAATTATGGGAAAAAAATGTCGGACATTATTTTGTTTTCATGGTAAAAACGGACATCAAAGTTAATAAAAAAATAAGATTTTTGTAAAATATTCTTTTATATATTTTAACTTTATAAGGCTAATTCTTTTTGAAAAATGTATTGAAAATACATTGTATTTATTAAATTGTATTAATTTAATATTTGTATTAAAAATGTAAAAAAACCTAGCACAGGGGGGTTGCGGCACAATGGTGACGTGGCATAGTTGGATCAAGTATAATAATATCTGACAGTGATTAAAATCACTATCAAAAATAAACGCTTCGGTGCAAATCTTTAGATAGTGCTTAATTTAAAAAAAATTGGTGTTTTATTCCAAAAGCTACTTGATCTGCTGGTTCCTTATTAATATCTCGATAAAGATAAAGTATGTCAAATGAAAAAGGGTTTATTAAAAAATATTATTTCTCATAAAAAAATTGTGTGGATCCATAAACTTTTCAATAAGTTATAGCATTATAAAGTTAAATATAATATAAATAATAAAATCGAGAATTTTCACACGAAAATAGCATTCGGTAGCCATTTTCGCCGTGAAGACAAGTCCAGAGGTCAAATTTTTTTTTTTCAAATTAAAGTATATTACATTAGCTTTAATTTAAGATATATATAAAAGTGTCAGACCTTCCGGAACATTTTCAAATGTTATGTTGAAAAAGTTAATTTTTTGTGAAAAAGTTGTCATTTTAAATCCCCCCTGTGGGCAGAAAAAAGGTTAAATTTACAAAAAAAATATACCAAATGTTAGGTAAAGATATCAAGCATCTATAAAAAAAAAAATTATATTCATATGTTAATTTTTGAAAAAGTTACGGCAGTTTTTAGTAAAAAAAATTGAAAAAATTTCGAAAATTAGCGATTTTTAAATTTGTAATTTTTTTGGAGGTTTCCCCCATTTACGGGGAACGAGGGAA